TTGGTTTTTTTTTTTTTTTTTTTTTTTTTTAGACTTTCTAGGTAACATTCTCATGCCTTCTTCCTCCCTCCATCCCCTCCACCTCTCCCACCCGCCCTCCCTTTTTACCAAATCCACTTCCAGGACAGGAAATTCTTCAAAGGATTCTTTGCAAAAGTAAGTTGTCATTCTGTGTGTCTGAGTGTGTTTCTCTTTATTTATTATTTTTCTTCCTCTGACATAACACTTCACCCTTTGAACACAGCTGAAGGCCTGAAGAAACACGCACACTGGGAGAAATCTGTGTGGAAAGTGACACACACAATGTTGCATGTGTCTGTGTGCAGGTGGGGTGTTTTGGTTTTTGGTTTTGTTTTTTTTTTTTTTTTTTTTTTGTATTAACAGGCGTGCCTTCTTCTTCAGTCCTTCCTTCCATGAACCAAGAATGGAACAATGAACAATTTGTGTGAATGAGCATTTCCTTTTTGTGCACACACAAATGTTTTATTTAACTAAAGGGGCCACCACTGTCGAATCCATCAGTGCACCAAACCTCACACCAGTCTTCTTGTTTCTTTTATTAAATTCGGGTACTAGTGAATGACACAGCATTCAGAAACACAAATCATGACTTCTCTTTTCTTTGGTCTCTTATCTGGTGTTTTTCCTTTATTTACAGGTGTGTGTGTGTGTGTGTGTGAGAGAGATTTTTTTAATTTTTTTAATAGGTACGAAGGATTGGTACAAGGGATGTAATATTAGGGGATATGGAAAAACGTATTTGTTTCTTAACTTGTTCTTGTCCCTACTCTGTTTTGTGTGTGTGTGTGTGTTTGCAGGCTGGGAAGAAACCGGTGCGGGCTGTATTGTGGGTGTCTGCAGATGGGCTTCGTGTTGTAGATGACAAAACAAAGGTAATAAGTCCTCTTGGTTTTGATCAAAAACAAAGAGCTGTCAGAGGAAGTACACATGGCTTCAGCAACTTTAAATATGAAAGCTGCTGAGTTGCAGCAGTTAATAAACTATGCTTGTTGTCCAGTGACCTCTAAAAGGCTCTCTTTAGGAAATATGTCCTCAGTGCACCTGCAGGACAAGATTCTGATTAAACGGAATTACAGAGGTTGCGCTGACATCTGCTGGAGAGCACCGGTACTGTATAGACATTGGCTCCATTTTTTTTTTGTTTGTTTGTTTGTTTTTTGTTTTTTGTTTTTTGTTAATGGTCAGAGCTTCTGCACACCTGTAAGTGAAGTGGTGTCTGTGAGGGTATAATTACAAGTGTACTAACAGTTTGTGACCTCTGGTTATGAAAAGGAAAGATTCAGAAGAAGAGAGAGCCATTTTCTCTTGTTTCTGATTGTTTTAAATCCCTTAGCTATTTAAGTTTTCATATTAAATGTCATAATGTTTATTACCCTTTGCTAGCGAGGCTACACAAATGTTCTTTTCCAAAATGCTGGATCGAGTCTGTTTCGTTATAAGAATCAGTTTGTCTTTGGTGTGTCTTTTGCTCAGTGATGCGATAAACTGGCTTTATTTCCATTTGTATCTTTTTCCTTTTACTAATTTATCTTATTTGCATTTTAACATTTTCTTCCTAAGAATATACAAAACTTAATTTTGAGTGAGGAATGGTGTTTTTTATTGTCAAGAAATGTTACTGAGTGTGTGTAAACCTTTAACATACATTTTGAATAAGATGTTTTTCTGATATTAAATCACCAAGAGAAGTGGCTATTTACTTTACCTTTTATGTTCTGTTTAAAAGCAATGGTGGGATTCAGGGTTCTCTCCTGTGTGAGGTCTTATCATGTCAGGGCTGCTCTTAATGTGAGGACCGATGTTATATTTGTGTTCACGTGCAGAATGGTGCTTCTGGAGCTGATTAGTAGCTCAGTCTTAATTCAAGTACCCTTGTAGCCAAGCCTTCTCTCTGAAGCACTGTTCACTGTGCAGTCATTCAGCCCACATTTTGAATTGACTTGCGTGAGAGTCACTTAAACCTCATCGTAGTTTTGAAGTTTGTGATAAAGAGGTAATGGTTATTCTTTTTACAGGACCTCATTCTGGACCAGACAATAGAGAAGGTGTCGTTCTGTGCTCCAGACAGAAACTTTGAGAGGGCGTTTTCTTACATCTGCAGGGACGGCACCACACGGCGCTGGATCTGCCACTGTTTCATGGCCATCAAAGACTCAGTAAGAAATCAAGCCAAGAGATCTGTTGACCGCTACACAGGATACTGTTTACAGCGTCACCTTGAATATAAAACAAATGGCTCAGTACAACTCGCCATTCATAGTAGAGCTTGGATTCGCTGTAATATAAACTTTCTTTGACTGGGGGTTCTTTGACTGAAGTATATTTTAACATGCTTTGAAAATGATAATGGACAATAATGTAGTAAATGCCAAGCCGTCCCTTGTAGGTTAGTGGTTAAGGCGCAGCGCTCTCATCACTGCGGCCCGGGTTCAAGTCAGGGTTGCGTCAGGAAGGGCATCCGGTGTAAAACACATTCCATATGTCAACATGTGAGTCGTCAGTGTGACGATTCGCTGTGGCGATCCCTAAGCCAGAAAAGCTGAAAGTGACTTTCTAATGTAGTAAATGCCATCTTAGAACATAAATCGCCTTCTAGCCAATCTTACTTGACTTAACTACCTTGTGGTGCCTTCAAGAGTTTTCACTGTCATTTAGAGGGTACTGGTCTTGCTCAGTCATCAGAGAACTGATTACCTGCTAAAACTTGATTAGTATCAAAATAAGGCATTTGAGCAGGTCACCTGGAAATTTCTCACGTTTTTGGGCATTTTATAGACTGAGCAGCTAAATGTCTATGTGAAAGAACAGGTTCATTGATGATACAAATAATTGAAAATAATTATTAGTTGGAGCCTCATTTTAAGCCTCATCTTCTTTCTCATATTTTTTCTCTGTAAATTAGACCATTATATTAATTGAATACTTAGACTATTAATGATGACAGTCTTGTTTAGAAAAACATTTTTTAATTGTCTCTTTTCAGGGAGAGCGTCTCAGTCATGCTGTGGGTTGTGCATTCGCCGCCTGTCTGGAGCGAAAACAGAAACGGGAGAAGGAGTGTGGGGTCACGGCAACCTTCGACGCCAACAGAACCACTTTCACTCGTGAGGGTTCCTTTCGTGTTACTACGGCAACAGAGGCAGCAGAGCGGGAGGAAGTCATGAGGCAGCTACAGGATGCTAAAAAAGGTCTGTATGTGTTGTGTTGTATTCCCTGACCTGCTAGTGGGTCAGCCACACTTTGCATTCATACTCCCAGTTCCAGCTAATGTTATTGCTGTAGCTTTGTTTGGCTTATGTCTCATGTGGAATAGAAAACTGAGGTCTGGATCTGCCTTTTGAGGAATGGCCAATTATACTAGTAGTAAATAAACTACTGTACATGTAGGTACAGTAAACTTCAAGATTATATTTTTTGCATGCATAACATACATTTACAGTATATATGTATGTTTTATATACTTTTGAAATTCAGGAACATGTGTTGGTAGTAAACATTACACTGAAGTTATTTGGAATTTCTTGGCATAGTTGTTTTCAGTTTTTCCTGTTGCCCTTCTCTAACAGCAGAGGCAGACGTGAAGGTTGCTGGGAACTTGGCTGCCAGTGTGACAAACTCCTCGGCACACCAGACAGGAGGCTCCGCATCCCCCACGTCCTCCCCACCTCTCTCGGTGCCTGCCTTCGGACCTCAGGCGATACCTCGCCGACACGCGCCGGTAGAGGCCCTCGCCAGGCAGGGCTCCTTCAGAGGCTTCCCGGCTCTCAGTCAGAAGACGTCTCCCTTCAAACGACAGCTGTCACTGCGCATGAACGAGCTGCCCTCCAACATGCAACGCAAATCGGACTTCCCCATCAAAGATGCTGGTGAGTCTGGGATCCTGACCAAATCTACAATAATACGGTCTGTTATTTGCAAGCATCCACCCTGAGAAAGAAAACAGGAAAGCTGACTCAGAGAAGACGAGCTTCTGAATTAGTTAGTTAGTTAACTGACATTACTGTAGTAGTTTTATTGTTATTTACTTCTCTGTTCCCCCTCCAGTCCCTGAGGTAGAAGGAGAAAGTGACAGCATCAGTTCATTGTGCACTCAGATCACCACAGCATTCAGTGGACCCCCAGAGGACCCCTTCTCCTCTGCACCAATGCCCAAGCCAGCTTCATCCCCACAGTCTCCTGTGGCCCCAGGTAAAAGCTTTTCCCTGCACCTTCAGTATCTAATATGTGTAACTGGGCATCTACATTGTGAAGAGCTCACTCAGTGCGTTACTGTGCTCTTATCAGCTGTGTGTACAGACTCTGAGTCTGTGTTGTGGAGTGATTCACAAGTTTTAAATAGAGAAATAACATATTATTGCTGCTCTGCTATTTACTGTCATAAGGTTGCATTAAATAAGCCAGGAGGTGGTGATGTAGCTAATTAAAACTGAACAGTCACAAACTGACTTATGACAATTGAAGCATCTATTTTATTTTGATTTTTTTTTTTTTTTTTTGTTATTAAAATAAAGGTTCAGAGACTTGGGAAGCATAAAATAACTGCCTATTTTGCACATTCAGTAGGGTAATGTGGAAACACACCAATAGATTACTGCCAAAAGTTGTTTGTGGCCAACTTCTCTGGGCAACAGTATCGATCACTGCCCACCTCCTGGCTGAATTTCCTGGTAGTTCAGTTTTATAGGAAATGAATAGAGTTCCAGTGACTTAATAATTACATTGCTTGCAAGTTAAAGTTAGTTAGAGAATGTTTGCCTGCTCATATTTTGTCATAACTAAGTTTATGACATTTATTTTATGATAACACTTGTTAAGACTGCTAATTAACTGCACGGTACCATTGTGCATGGCTACCGGGAGATCAGAGCACACGTCACCTGACACACAAGCTTGCTTGTACTAGCTTCTGTCTTTTGTCTGCTGTAGTGAACGGCACAGCTTTCTCTGCTGCTTCTGCTAACACCCCAGTTCTGCCCCCCCCTCTACCTGCTCGAGAAACTAACCCCTGGGCTAAGACCCCCGCAGGGGACCCAGCCTCAGCACAGCCAGGTAAGAAGCTTCTCAAGGAGGTTGGCTTGGGAAGTTTGCCTTTCACAGTATGCACCGAATGTCGTACAGAAGTGAAGAACATGTGATGAGGGCATTACATTGTGCCTTATGGCGGCTCATTTCTGAGGCATTGCAAAGGATTTAAACTGTTGGTTCCACCAAGTCAAGTTTACTTTTATTGTACACTACAAATTGGAATGATTCCTTAACCGGAGGTTTCCAGACTGTGAAAACTGCCTGAGGTGAAAGAAGGTTTCAGGTCTGTTTTCTGAAACCAACAGCTCGTTAGTTGTTGTACTTTGGCCTGCTTGTTAACACAGCCAGGAACTGCTGTGGCACGTAGCTCATTGAGACAATTCAGATAAACCATTACTTGTACCTCGAGGGTCTTGGCTGTGGCCTGTTCATTTTTTCAGCTGAAAATGTTATCGGTAACATAATGCGTGTTGTTGTACCTGTTAAAAGTTTGGTTTATTCACTTACTTGTTTGGATTTTTCTGTGCACTTTCTGACAACAGGAAATGACTGGTCATCCCCTGCTCCAGTCATAGTCTCCCCCCCAGCATCCTCCCCAGCCTTGCCCTCTCACAAACGCACACCATCTGAAGCAGACCGGTGGTTAGAAGAAGTCTCCAAGTCTGTTCGAGCCCCGCAGCCTAATCCAGTCATGGCAGCAGCAACGCCCCCCACCCAGCACTTCACTGCCCCAGTGGCGATGTCCGTGGCAGCTGTTCCCTCTGTTCCCCCAGTGGCCTTCGTACCCTCCCTGCCACCTGCCGTGCCCATGCTACCCCCTCGCCAGCCTGTCTTCCATTCTCAGGCTCCAGCCTCCTACCCAATGTCCAACGGGCTGCCATTCCCTCAGCCCAGCGTGCCTGTGGTCGGTATCACTCCTTCACAGATGGTGGCTAATGTGTTTGGCTCAGCCACGCAACCCCAGTCGTTCCCCATCCCTGCCTCAACAACACCCCAGCATGACGCCCAGGCTGCTGGCAGCTTCAGCCCCTTTGTCAAACCCCCACAGTCCACCGCTGTGAACCCTGCTCAGCTCCAGCCGTCTAATGGCAGCGTGACCTTTAATGGGGCAGACAGCTGGGCTGCTCCGCCCCAGCATGCTCAATCCTCCCCAGCCATGCAGCCACCCACACAGCAGCAAGAAGATGCATTTGAGGCCCAGTGGGCAGCCTTGGAGACCCGCTCTCACCAGCGCACCACACCCTCCCCAACTAATCCCTTCTCAACTGAGCTGCACAAAACCTTTGAGATCCAGCTCTGAAGACTGACATGAGAAGGTACTGGACAATAAGGAGTAGGCAGGTAAATGACTGCACAAGAGAGAGGAATGCTGTCCTGCATCTCTTTATCTTGGCCTCAAAGGAAACGCTCAGCAGGGTGAAAAAGAACTGGGATACAGTGAAGAGCAGCGGGTGGATCAGCAGAGAGCAGAAGCAAGGGGAGACGAAACCAAAACAGGCTGCTGTTCAGAAGGTGCTGCTCCCCAGCCTTTTCATTAGCATTGTCTCTGTTGTTTTGTTTGTGTTGTGGAACTCAACTTCATCATCACTGTGCTGAGCCACACCCAGTCAGCCAACCCACCCACCCACCAAAGTGTGGGGGCTCCCATCCCCCGCCCTCCCTGTTGACAGGACGAGGCCTCCGTCACCTGGAAGAGAAACTGCAGCACTGAGCGAACTCAGCTTCCAAATAAGAAGTTCTCCTAAATAACTTCCCAGTCAGAATAGAGTGAGACGATGCCAAATCTCTATTTTATGCATTAAATATATTTTAAATAGCTTTGGAATCTAACTGAACAGTTGTAAGTAATCTTTCCAAAGGCACAGGCTAGCTACAGTGAGACGAGTTTATGTTCATGTATACAGGAAATTACAGGATATATTATACATATATAAATATATATATATATAAATCTTCTATACTGTACACACAGCTTACAGCAGTGCTAATTTTGTATGTGATGTAAAGAAATTTTGTGAAGGGACAGCTGCTTTACTTTTGTGTGTGTGTTTTTTTTTTTTTTTTTTTTAGAAAATGAACATTAATGTTGTCTGCTGCATCCTGTAATTGGATGTGAGGCATCTCACTGTAAATAGGGTATCACTACAGCAGCAATCAGTGTGGACCTAGCAATGGTGGTGGTGCCCAGCTGGTTGTCTCTCTTACCTGTGCTCAGTTTTTAAGAGTTTAGTGCTTTAGATTTTACTTCTTCTGTACGGTAACTTTTATTTTTTTTTATTTAACACACTAGATGTCATCTCTTGTTTCTCCACCACCTGCATTATATTTTTTTATTAGCTGATTTCTAAATTTATATTTTGCACAAGCACTAAAGTAGATGATTTGACCTCACAGATGACCTTGATGAACATGGGTTTGTTGGTCAGTTGTGATGCTGCTGCATGCTGACCTGCCCTGACCTCCGTTAGCCTGCTGTGGTTCAGACAGTCTGCAGGAAACGACAGGGAGATAAACGATTTCATCTCTCACTGTCTGATTTCTCTCTTTTGTGTTTTTATTTTTTTAAATCAAACTTGTGAATACAATCTAATCTCTGATCTATTTTTCCATTTTGTAATTATTTCATTTTGTTCCAATTTTTTGGAGTAATAATGAGGTTAAAATATTGAATAAATTCATGGTGGTAGAGGAAAATGTGGTCTTTGTTCTTGAGTGAACACTATCATGGTTCATATGCATACAACACATAGTAAAATCTGTGAACACTGATGAGATCAGTGGTGTTTCTTGGTTTCAGGCTAGAGCTGAAAAGATTAATTGGTTGACGGAAAATATTTAGGAACTAGTTTTCTGTATTTCTAAACCAAAGAATGACAGTCACTGGTCCCAGCTTCTCAAATGTGAGGATTTGTTGCCTTGTTTGTTTTCTGTCATTATACATTTTGATGTGGAAGGGGGCTGAAGGGGACCACCATTCTGAGGGTTTTAGACTGAGCATTTTCTGTTGATGTCAGCAGACACACTGTAAACACTGCAGGAGCTGATGTTATGGTACAGAGTCAATCAGGGACCAGTGGAAAGACATGACTTAAATTTTTTTTTTTTAAATAAACATTGAAAATAGTAACCTGCCTAATGAAATAGCACAAATAAGGAGTAAACTTTGAGACTTGAATATTAAACTCTTGCTTTATAATTTTTATCAGTTTATCAGCTTTGTTGCTTCTTTAGTGTGAGCTGACTTGAATGACTCCTCAGCTCCTAACCTGTGTTGACATTAAGTTGTTAATCCACTTAATATAATTAACACAATGTTTGTGCAATGTATGGTGCAACTGTCAGATTTTTAAAATAGAGGATTTTAAATGTGGATGAATGAAACCAAGGGACAGGGTCAGGATGCAACAGCAGAGACAAATATAAAGTAAAGAAGGTAAAAAATCATTTGTGATTTAAACAAGATGGAGGAGGAACAGACTGATTCAGAACCAGGAGTCAGTTGATAGACGTGCACTACAAACTTGGAGGCAGAAAAACTAAAGAGCTACTTCACTGATAATTTTATTTGAATCTAATCATGTTCAAAACACAAGATTGGAGCTTCCTATGAGGTAATTTGTAGTATCGGTTACTACAGGGACTAGTATTAACAAACAAGCATTTATCGCCTTCTTACTGTGATTAAGCAATGTTTACATTAATAATGTTTGTAGACTTAGCAGCAACAATTGTCACATAGTTTTAGTTCAGACGAGAAACACCAAAATTAGATTTTCCATCTATAAGTCAAACTGTTGTTTATAAGATTAAACTAATTAATTCCATATTTTACCCACAGCAGCCCTGCAATGATACATAAAATAATTAACAGAGGTTGGCAAGTTCAGAAGAAGCCTATTAATAATTGACTCACCTCATAAATCATGACATTTCTGTGTCATAAATGAAAATACATTAGCTGCTTTCTGCATTAAAAAGTGTCAAGGTCAAAAGGTCAAGGTCAAAGTGTTTGTCAAATGTACAGTTAGGAAGTGTTTCCCTGTACAATGAAATTCTTACTTTGCCGTCCACATGAATGCCACATAATACAAGTGAAATATAAAGTAGATGAGCAATAACACAAATCTAAATAGGCAGTAAAATCACAAATCTAAGGTACTTTAAAGCAGCAAGTGAAGGAAGCAAATACAAATACAACAAGAACACAATATAATGCAGAGAGAGAATATGTGCTATGTGGGAGCTGTGGAGTGTAAATACTCAGCAGTGAGTGCAATTATGCGTGTGCAAACTGAGTATGTAAACAGTACAGATGGAATTACATGAGGTAGATCCTGAGTCAGCTGTTTAGGAGTCTGATGGCAGTCGGAAAGAAAGACTTTTTCAGACTAGAGGTCCTGCATTTCACACCCTCCAACCGGAGGGTAGTGGTATAAACAGTCCGTGCTGGGGGTGGGGGTGGTCCTTGAGGATGGAGGCAGCTTTCCTGCAGATGCTCTCAATGATGCAGCTATAGAAGTTGCAAAGGATCCTAGGTGACATGCCAAACCTCCTCCGCCTCCTCAGGAAGTACAACCGCCATTGGGCCTTCTTGACCAGCTGTGTGGTGTTAAGTGTCCAAGTGAGGTCCTCACTGATGTGGACGCCCAGGTATTTGAAGCTGCTCACCCTCTCCACTTTGAGCCCCCAGATCAACAGTGGCTGATGAGATCTCCTCTCCTTCCTCATGTCCACTTTCATCTCCTTCGTCTTGTCAGTATTGAGAATTGTTACGATATCAGTGACCCTGGTCTGGTATTAAAAGGTCAAACTAGATTTTGCATCATTGCCTACTTCTAGTAAAAATAAAGCTCTAACTTTCCCAGTTTAGTAATAATATTCTGTGTGAACCATCGAAACCATATATATATATAGATACATAGTTCATTGTGTGAGGTGCCAGCTGCATCATGCTGTGGTGTTGGTCCGTACTTCCACCAGAAGGCGCTCGCTGGACAGCACCGTCGTTATAAATAAAGCCCGGAAGTCAGATCTGTTCAGTCAAGACAAACAAGTGAACATGTGTGTGAAACTGGCATTGTGATGGTTACGCACGTAAAGGTGAGTATCACGGCACATCTACTAACACACTGAAGTACTGCTCTGTTGTTCTGCAGCTGTTTCCACCTCGATACGAGGAGGCCGGTTTCTCTAGAAGTCTCCCTCCTTCAGGTACCGTTAGTGTTCAGGTAGGGCTAGGTTGCTTTATTATGGTTCGGCGTAGCACATATCATTGGTTGAGCTTCGGGAAGCCAGAGAGGACTGACTGGGGGCTGGGGTTTAGATAATGTGAGGCAGAAACATGCCGACGGGGGAAATGACTTCGACAAAACACCTGCACAAGCGGAACGGATAACGAGTTAGCATGTTAACTAGCTACTTTAACTTGACAAGAAAAGCTAACTAGACTGACTATTGTTTGGCTGTTTTGTATTTAAAATACCTTTGCATTTGAAAGGGGAAACTAAACAGATTAGTTTTTTGATGCTGTTGTCCAACCAGTAGAGGCCAATGCTAACAGAAGTTGTAGTAACTATGGTAACAGCACAGGCTAGTCGCTGTGTTCAGGTCAGTGATTGAATGACGGAGGTTTGTGGTGTAGATGAGCCCAATGTAACAGGGAAGCCACAACATAATTACTATGAAAGCATCATTTAATTAATCTGTCTGGATAAAGCAGTATTGTTACTGTTGCTTGTTTATTCATTGAGGACCTGTGGTTTGTTTTTTTGTTTGTTTGTTTGTTTTCTTTGTTCAGATGTCCAGATCACAGATACAGAGGCACATTTACATGGGATCTCACTGATACAGGGAAGGTAAAATATCCCTATGTTCCTTTAATAACTGTGCTGTTGGAGACATGTAGATCTGGCCGCTGATCACAAAATGTGTTTGCTTTTCACTTCTAGGTTTGCATTTTTCAGTCTAAGATCACTGCAAGTCAGCATGTCTCATCGAGGGCCTGTCACTGCTGTTGTAACTGCAGTACTAGGGGCAGCCCTAGGTGGGCTGTTCATATGGCGTGTTTACAGAACAAAACAGAAAAGGCTGCCTTCCGTCCAGGAGGTGGCTAATCCTGTGGAGGCTCCATGTCCTGTAGAAAAGAAGTTCAAAGCCGTGGAGTATCAATACATTCAACCGCCGCATTTTGAAGAGAAGGAATTGAAGGCTGTGGAGTGTCAGACGACACAACTGCCCCCTCTGGTACAGATCCCTTCTTCGGAGCAGCTGCTGGGGGTGAAACCAGTAATGGTTAGCTCTGAGGAGGAGTGGCAGAGGCTGTGGCCACTGATGCAAATGGAGCTGTCAACCTTCCCTGTGCTGGGGCTTGACTGTGAATGGGTAAAGACTAAAGGCGTAAGAAATACCTTTTGCATGTTTTAAATGTATGAAGAAGAAAATCCACCCTGAATCAAGTAGTCTGCATTTGGGCTCTTTTGTTGTTTGGCATACTTCATGTGTTCTCTTAGGTAACTGGCCAGATATAGGTAATACAAAATCACATGACTAATCTTAAGTGGAGTTTGACAGAGCTGGTGTGATTAGTCACTTGGCAGGTTTTGTATTTTTGAAACAAGCAATTTGATGTAAAGCTGAAAAGGTTGATGAATCCATTATTAAATTTATTCAGCAAAAATGCTCAGTATTCTCTGGTTTCAGCTGCTGAGATGTGACAGTTGGCATTTTCTCTTCTTGTACGTAATAGTTAATTGAATATCTTTGGTATTTGGACTGATGGTTTAGATAAAACATAGTTTGAAGATGTCACCAAGGAATATTGACAAGTATTTTATCACAGATTTGTTTATTTTTATTAGTGTTATTTTATCAACTAAACAACTCTGAAAATAATTGGTAAATGAATCAGAAATGAAAATGGTTGTTAGTTGTGGGAAGTTGTGATTGGCTTTTTGTTTGACAATCAGAGTTAACAATAGTGGCTAATGTACCCTTAATCATGCAGCAGCTTTGCTGTGTGAAACATCACATTCTTTTCCTACATTAAAATCTTCAACCTGCTTTAAACTGTTGAATGATTGTACAGGAATAAATGCCGTTCAAGAGGATGTTAAAACAAGTCCCTCCAAAGTTGCCCAGAAAGCAGTTCATCAAAAAGTGGATCACACTACAGACAAATCTAAAAAAGGCATTTAACATCATTTTGACCATCTGTACCCATATCAGATCATCAGAAGGGCGGACTTTTCCTTCAGAAGTCCTCCTGTAACATTTTAAATGTGTCACGTTCATGTCGGACCTAGCTGCTGTTTCCTGTTGCAGGTGTCAGTGAAGGGTCAAGCCTCTGTGGTGTCCCTGTTACAGATGGCTTCGTACTCAGGTCGGTGTGTTCTGGTGAAGCTGCTGTCCTTTCGCAGCGGGCAGCAGCCGTTCCCGCTCAGCTTAATTGAAGTGCTTCAAGACTCCCACATTTTGAAAGTTGGAGTCGGCTGCTATGAAGATGGCAAGCGTCTGACGCGTGACTACGGCCTGTCACTGACGTGTACTGTCGACCTGCGCTACCTTGCCCTAAGACAGAGGTATTGTTTGGCCGTTGCTGTTTGCTTTTTTTTTTTTTTTTTTTTCTCCACTTTGGTTATTGTTGGTCACTTTAGAAGTTATCTGTGCAAATGACATAATTATCTGTCTCCATTTTCAGGCAAGTTGTGGTAAACAATGGTCTCAGTCTGAAGTCTCTGGCAGCAGATCTGTTGAATGTGTCTCTAGATAAGTCCCTGGAGCTGCGCTGCAGTGACTGGGAGGCAGATGAACTGTCACTGGAGCAGGTGGGAATTGTATTACAGCGGTCTTCTCAAATTTTTACCTGTTGTCTAATCTGCTTTCAGTCTATCGCGGTAAATAAATCGACAATTTAAAAGGGTTATGTAATGAGAGGAGCTGGTGCTGCTGGGTCTGGAAATCCAAATCATCTTTTTTGTACACAGTTTTGTGCCAAAAAAAAAAGACTAGAATTCTCAAGATGCAGTTTGTATTCTGGTTGGCCGTATGATTCTTGAACGTGATATGCCAGGAACACCTTCAGGAATTTCTTCAAATTTGGCACAAATGTCCAATTGGAGTCAAGGATGAACTGATTAGATTTTGGTGGCTAAAGCTCGGTGACCTCTATCCTGTCCCTTAGCCGTGAATTTGACTGTATGGTGAAGACATACAATCACAAAGCGGTTATTCTAGTTTCCTCTGAATCTTTGTGTCCTCACTCCAGATAACTTACGCTGCCAGAGATGCCCAGGTTTCTGTAGCTCTCTTTCTCCATCTCCTTGGCTTCTGCACTGAAGCTGGACCCGCCTTTTCCAGTGGGAGCTCCTACTCTGAGTTGGCTGCCCGCTGCCAGGGCCTGGTGGATGTGCCCTTCAGAGGCCGAGGAGACGGAGACGACGGAGCTGCTGATGGAGAGAGGAGGCGGAAGATGCGGAAGACGCCCACTTATGAAAGCCCAGAATCTGGAGATCAGCAAGTCCCAGACCCTCGAAAGAGTAATAAGAGGAAACCGCTGGGTACGGGCTATTCTGCCAGGTGAGGATGGTCTACACACACACACACACACACACTCTTCTTGCATCATCTTACATGAAATAAGGTTAGGTTAACAGACTTCAAAACCTTCCACTCTGACCATTACAGGAAGTCTCCTCTCTATGATAACTGCTTCCTCTACGCTCCAGATGGCCAGCCTCTGTGTACCTGCGACAAGAAGAAAGCCAAATGGTACCTAGATAAAGGAATAGGAGGTATACTGGAAAACCCCAGTTTGTAAAAATTGAAACAATATGTCAGAACGTCTTATCACAGTCTTGTTGAAGGGCCAAATTAACACCTAGTCTACAGCAGCACATTAGAAACTGCATTATTGCTGCTGTGATGTAAGAGCACTCACATCCCAATACACAATGTATTTATACACACAAGTAGAAAGAAGCAACACTTGGTGTGGATAGTTATTAGATGCCTGTGTTCAGTAAAATAAAACCTGTTGGGTCAGATGAACAGCTGTGAAAAGTGGCCGACACGTGTTAATCTCCAGTCGAACTAGGAATCTTTTCTTCACATTGTCTGTTTTTGACCCAGTGCTCCAGAGTGAAGAACCTTTTGTAGTGAAGCTGCTGTTTGAGCCATCAGGACGTCCCGACTCCCAACAGGACTACTATCTCACTGCCAAAGAGAACCTCTGTGTGGTCTGTGGCAAAGCAGAGTCCTACATCAGGTTTGACGGGCTCTCCTCGTTTTAATCCATCTGAAATCTGTGTGTTTAGGAACTGTAAAGAACCAGCTATCCACACGCTGTCATTTCCCTCGTCTATACTCAACACATTTTTTCAGGGCTACATTAGGTAATGTATTCATAGAAGTGAAAGGTTTATTAGAGGTGAAGTTTTCTTAAAACGGAGGATTCCCTGTTGCTGGCAGCACTGCAGGAACAGTCATGTTCAGTCATGTTTTCTAAAGGTGGCTGTTTCTTTAGGGAGTAGCACTTTATTACATGAAAGACCTGAATACATCATGGTTTTGTTTTTTTGTTTTTGATCCCACAGGAAAAACATTGTGCCACATGAGTACAGACGGCATTTTCCCACAGAGATGAAGGACCACAACTCCCACGACATCCTGCTGCTGTGCACCAGCTGCCACGCCACCTCCAACATGCACGATGGTGTCCTGAAGCAGCAGCTGGCTGAAGAGTTTGCTGCCCCTCAGGGCTGCGAGGAGGGGATTCGCCTGCTGGAGGATTCAGACCGACGGCGGGTGCGTTCAGCGGCTCGAGCTCTGCTCATCCCCGGTGACGGTCTGCCAGAGCAGCGACAAAAGGAGCTGCAGGATCTGATCAAGAACTTCCTTAACATGAACGAGGAGGAGGAGCTGACGAACGAGGTGCTGCAACAGGTGGCTGATCTGGAGACGAGGTGAGTTTTGATTCTGGCTGCAATTACAGATTGAACAGAGCAACATCATGGTATCTCATTTATTTTGGAACCATTTAATCAAGATTAAGTAAGAGTAAAGTAGTGTGAAGTATCAAAACCTTTTCACAACCGTTGCATGAATTAAAACTAACAAAAATGTGTGTGAAACTAAAATTTGAAACGCCCCCAGCACTGTTGTTGCACACATCACGATAAAAGCTTTGTGCAGAGTCGGTTTGTCTTTGAGGAAACAAATTTAAAAACACATCCACACACCTGTGGATACAGTTCACACTGAATGTCTGGACTAAAACCAAACCATCAAGCAACTCTGTCACCCTCTGCGATAAAGTTGTGGCGAGGCATAGATCAGGACAAGGGTGCAAACCCATTTCTTAAGCTTGGTGTTCCAGGAGCACGGGGGGAGCCTCAAACACTGCAGCACTCAGAGTAACTGGGCAAGAAGGGCTCGAGGCAACATGAAGATTAAGTCTAGACTCGTGGTGTGACGGAAGCCATTCCTGAATAAAAGATGTACAACAGGCCGCTGGACGTTTGACAAACAGTATTTAAAGGATTCTGAGAGCATAAGGATAAAGATTCTCTGATCAGAGGACACAAAAACTGAACTCTGTGGGCAGAACCCAAGTGCTGCATCAGGTGACCACCAGCCCCTGTTCACTATTAGGTAATGTATTCATGGGGGGGGCTGGTCAAAACAGAGGGAACGATGAATGCAGCCACATACCAACAAGTCCTTGGAGAAAAGCTGCACCAGCATGAGTTCGACCTGAGACGACAGACGTTGCCGGGGTGGATTCATGGACTGTCCTTGAGGGGCCCTGACCTAAACTCCAGAGAACGACAGTGGACCTGAAGATGTTCACAAACCCTTCCCATCCAGACTGAGAATCTGTAGGAAGAATAGGATAAAGTGGTATGCAGAGCCTGTAGAGACTTACCCAAGAAGACAGGAAGCTATAGTTGATGCTGAAGGGGCTTCTACAATGTTCTGATTACTTTCTGATATCACTGTGCGCCAATACCAGTTTATCTGTGATGAGCTAATACTGGTCCGTCCTGTTTCAGCAGAAACACGTTCAGGTTCCTCTGCTGGTTTGCAGGTGGTCTTCATAGTGCTGTTTCACATTGGTTTTGATACAGGTCATTGTGCAGAATCTGTACTCATTTTCTGACTGCTCCTCTCTCCTTTGAAGGATTCTCAATGAGGCCTACGTGCCTCATGGCCTGAAGGTGGTGCAAGCCCACGCTAAGCAGGGCCTCAGGGGCCTCATGGACTTGGAGCGTCTCTGGAGGCAGCACTTCCTCACCACCATGCAGCCTCGCCACCTTCCTCCTTTGTGGTCTGTTGACCACAACCACAGCAAGTTCTTCCGCAAATATGGTAAGGACCTGCCCATCAAACTCAACTGACAGTCTCTGCCGAGCAGCTACTGACCAGGACAGGAAATGGGATTTTCTCATTCAGAGGGCAACGTGCTGGGTGGATTGGAACTTCACTGCCACTGTCTTTTTAACCAGCCAAACATTCTTGGTGAGCGAATGAATGCACTAATCTGCCACCTGGGACTGAAACGTAAGCAGCACGCGGTGGCTGTCGGCCTCCCACTCTGGTGTTGATGAGTGTGCAAGTGAAGCCACTCGATCTGTGATGGAGCATAGACGACGTGACGCAGTGAGATGCTGCAAGCTCGTCATCTGGACCCTGGCTGAACTAAAAGAACTTCTCTGTGGAGAAGAAATCGGCACTGAACCTGAAGAACTCTGCAGCGTCATGTAGAACGATGCGTGTGTGCATAGGGACACTTTTATTATAGAAAATGTACAATTATTTATCAAAAGTGTTAATTTAAGAACAGATTTTCAGAAAAGCTGCAGCCTGCTCTTAATTTCCCCATAAGTTGAAAGAACTCCCCCCTGCAGGTAAGCAGCTTGTCGTCTCCATCGGTATGAGAATAACTCATTTGCTTTGCATAGAGAGTCATTTTAACATGGCCTTAAACTATTTGGCACTTCCCCTTGCTTTTTTCAGTCCATTTTAAGTCGGGAGATGAATAATCGGTTTCCCAGAACCATGGTGAAATCGGATGCTAACCTCATTCCTATTTGCTATTTAAAAGATGAGTCTGGGGCTAAGCTGATGGCTTTTGTAGGGGGATATGAAAGCAAGCAGAATGAGGTCGGCTTGTTCAGTTACTCATTTAAACTCCTGATGTTTATGTCCTGCTGCTGATCCTCCTGATGGTTGGGACCTCTCCATGGCCCATGTTTTAATGTGCCTCTTAACCCCCAAACCTGATGGGAAGCTAGTCAGAGCAGCGAGACATGAGCTTGTTTCAGCTTAGAGCAGTTTCATTACGACGTCGTGTTACATAATACAAAATGCACAGTGAACAAAAGGTGCCAACTGATGTGATCATGAGTTACCTTAACACTAAACCCCTCTTTACAAGGCGGATTTTCATCTTTTGGAGTGTGATAAATTTGCCATATATATCAAAGTTTAAATAATGAAAACGGCTGCTTTGTCTTAGTATTTTTCTGCATGTAAACCGTGCAGCAGTTTGTTTTCCTAAATTGTGACTATGAAGATGAAATAAAGGTTGTTTATATCAATCCTGTCACGTGTGTGTGTGTGTGTGTGTGTGTGTGTGTGTGTGTGTGTGTGTGTCTGTGTGTGTGTGTATACACCTTCTAAAAAGATGCAACCACATTCACTTTTTACTTTTTTTATTTCTTACAAAATCACAGTTTAATAAATAGTCTGTAAAAATGAGTACAAAAGCGGTTTTCTTAACATTTCATATATGAATCACTCGTGACTTTCAGGTCAAATGAGTCTTTGCTGAATTTTTTTTTTTTTTTTTTTTGTCAGGAATGACAGTTTTTTACAATCTAGTTCTGCTGAATTAAGGCCTCTTGATTTTGGCATCAGAACAATCTATCAGTCAAATGTTTTATCTCAAGTGGAATTTGTGTACGTTATGAGCTCCCCTGGTTTCACAGTTCAGTCAGGAAATTTAAATGAACACATTTACAAATAAATAGCAAAATGGCTCAACATGCAGGTGTGATCCCTTTGTCCTGGAATGCTGACAAAACCGAGCACAATGGTTGGTGTTTGACACTGCAGACGTAATGCAACAAGAACAATGGCACATGAGAATTGAGGATTTTTTTTTTTTTTGAGCATCCTGGAACGATCAGGAGAGATTTTGACAAACTTATGGCGGTGACAAGGAGTGCAGTCCTGTGTTGTCATAGACACAGACATCTTTACTACTTTACAGCGAAACCTCTGAGGGTGGAGACACACCAGATGTTTCCAGCAGTTCTCAGATTTTTTTTTTTTTTTTTTGAATAGAACATTTTGGAAATATGCTCCTTTACTTTTTTGCCAAATGTTAAGATCAAAAACATTTGTATGGGAAGTGTTGAAAATACAGTTTATATAGAAAATGACCAGCCTTATCCTTTAAATTGATTTGGCGGACAATTAATTTGAACATCCAACAGGTACAGAGCAACGTTGTCATTAATGTGGGGGAGAGTTTGTGTCCACCAGATCCAATAGTCGCTCTCTGTTGGCTCTGCTTCTGGTCTCTACCGACTCTTAAGGGAAAAATCTCTCTGTAGCTGCCGAATGCTCTGCTGTGTTCACCAGTCAGTCTCCGAGTGTCTGTCTGCTGTTTGATGCTGAGCAGGTAGAGCTGCTTCTCTAAGAACAGGACATGTGGAGCTTTATACTTTACTTTTGGACAGAGTTAAGCCAGCGCTCTGTTTCCAGTCCTTATGCTAAGTGTCTGAAACTTGTAGCTGTACCGTAGTTTTGTGAGATTGGTATTGGTCTCATCTGCCTCAAGAAAAAAACAACAACCTGTACCTCCTGTTTTTGATGAATCCTCTAGTGTGTATCCACCTGGACCAATGCAGAGGGTTTCAACACTAAACCGCTGCATATTCTAACTCCTTTTGTTCATTCCAACAAAAGACAATTTGATATATAAGAAAAAGAAAATGATTATGCAAATCAAGAAATGACAACGCCTGCTTGATTTAGCCCCAAATCTCTGGATGTCTGTCTCTTGGGGATGGACAGGTTACGTTTACATCATGTGACATTATTTTTAAAACTTAGATTAATTCTCTTTTCTCTGCAGATCACATTTCCTTAAAGGTACACTGAACTAACTAAGGCATATTCTAAACCTTTTCAAATCACAGATCAACCCTTGACTGCGTCTCCAAAAGCTAAAATTCGAAGCACATTTTCAATTTATAGTAGGAGAATGAAAGACATTTTGCAGGTTTTACATTTTGACCTTCAAGATAAATCCATCTACAAAGAATATTTTGTAATTTTCATGAGGGAGAGCCGTACAACCAGTACAAACGACTTCAATCCTCTTACATATTTCATATGAATAGAATTCCCATTTTCACACAGACTAATAAGATTGTCACATTAACATAAGGTGTTGCAAAAATGATATTGTTCTACAGTGGCTGTGTGAAAATAAATCTTCGGCTTCAGACAGCCTGCTGCAGACCAGTAACTTAATAAATAAAGAGACCTCAATGTTAAAACGTGAAGCGGATGTTCCTCTAGTTTTTGGTCAAAGGCTGTTTGATGATGCAGAGAGGCTCGAGTTCTGTACAAGGTCTGTCATGGAAAAACGGCTGCGGTTTAGGCGTGTTCCTCTCAAACTGGATGTTTTTTAATGGTCATTTATGCCGTGACGTGACCCTCAAGCCCTTGGATCATGTTAGAAACTATTTCTAAACTACAACGGGCTTCAGTGACAAAATGAGCTCCTCTCGTTCCTGATAAACAAGCTTGGTTTTTATCCAATGACGACGATAAGCAAAGATCTCCCTCGTTCGTCCTCCTCCTCGCTGCACCACCGCTGCTCCTAACAACCCTACCTCATTATTGCTTGCATGTTAATACATACAGTATGGGAAACCATTCTTGTCTCTGAGAACAGACAAAACTAGAAATATTTCACAGTCAGACTCCAGTGTGAGTGACAACAAGGGTAAAAAAAAAAAAAAAGCATGACTGCCTGTTTTTTTTTTTTCTGTGCCTCCTCGGGCTCTTTCTGCTGTAACAAGGACAGACTCCAGTTTGTGGGAAAAGACAACACAGACATTTGCTGGTGTATTCAGGATGTAGGCTAGCAAGTCACAAATTCTTTGGAGTTTCATTCGTTAAGCCGAGACGGTGGAGCCTGCGGGATTTCTACGTCCCGTCGCAGGATGCAGTGTTTTCACACTCTCTCCTTAGAACCACGCAAACTAATTCAGATGAAGACACACACACACACACACACACGTCACACGCTCACTGCAACTCATCTGAAAACACAGTTGGCACAGATTATCAAAATAAATACCCTGGAAGCTTGGCACTATGCAAAAGAAACTTCACATTTTGGAAAGAAATCTTATAAAAAACTATTGAATAATCTCAGTCTAATCCACGTTTTCGTTATCCTCACTATTACTTATATACTATATGCTGATGAAAGTTACACCAGTGTCGTAAACCTCTGAATGACTTAACTACCACTGAAACAATATAGCTCCTATTCAAATAGATTTTTTTTCCACAAACATACATCAAAATGAAGTATCTAACATCTATCAGACTATAGATGGTGCTGTTGTCTGGGATGCATCTCTTTATAGTGCCTCTTAGTTTTTTCTCCCTCACTCTTCTTTCAAACAATCAGTTCCTTTAAGTTAAATCTGAAACCCAGAAACAAAATCTCTTCTAGTTCTGGGCACAGCTAGGAAGTCAAATACACCTTCCTTTGTTTGATCCCACCTCAGACAGATGTCTTTGTATCTGTGTGGACATCTGTCAGGGCACATTACCTCACAGGTGTCCCTCCAGGATACTGGTGACAGCTTGGTCCAGTGAAGGGCCTGACACGGCCCTGGTCGAGGCTGCAGAGGGGCCCTGCAACCGCTGGAGCTCCAGGATGCTGTCGATGGCGCTCTGCAGATGTTCATTGAGCATGCTGTCCTCTTGGAGGGGCGGAGGCG